CATTTCTTTAATATGAGATTCTGTTATCTTGAATAATGATGTGCAACAAAAACATTGCCACTATGAAGGAGATGGAAGCAAATCAATGTGGATTAAAGTCGGTGCAGGCCTATCCGCAGTTATTGCTGTGCTATTTTTCAGTGCTTGCACTTGCACCATGAGGAGAAGGACGAATCTGAGAACAGGTATGCATGTGATATGTACCGAAAGTCTTGGTACTAAAAATTTTATATTACATATATGATAGTTAGTTTCTATATACTTGCAGGTGATTTCCAAATATTTTTGAGATATAATCTTGACAAGAAATTAAAATTTTGAACCGGAATTCCTAGCACCTTTGAATTTGCAAATATGCTGTGGTTAAGCTTGAAAAGAAGACTTAATTAGGCAGAGATTGAGTAATTGGCTTTAATCCCGTAAATTTTTCTCTAGTCAGGTCATCATCTGAAAAAATGCTTGTAGGTAGAAGGTTAAAAACAGAAAAAAAAATTTGAAGTGTCGAAACAAGATACATGATGTTCGAAACCTATATAATCAATTATTAGCACTTCACAATATCTGCTGCAGAGGAAATAGCAAATATCCGAGAGGAACAATCACTCGACTTGGCAGGACGAGCAACTGTTGGGGACGACTATTCAGACAAAGATATTAAAGGAGAGGTGACATCCCAGGACCTCCCTTTGATCCGGCTAGATGTTATAAATGAAGCTACAAAGCAATTTTCTGATGAAAACAAACTTGGTCAAGGAGGCTTTGGCCCAGTTTACAGGGTAATCAAGGCTATCAAGTCAATTACTTTATTCATCAAGAAAAAAAAAGAAAAAATCGAATTCTGTTATTTGTCAATCTCTCAATACACAAATTCGAAAATGCATCACACTTTGGCCCACAAATATTAATGCTTATTAGAATAGTTTGTGCTCAGGGTACGTTAGAGGATGGCAAAGAAGTTGCAGTTAAGAGGCTCTCAAGAACTTCTGGTCAAGGACAAAGAGAATTCCTGAACGAAGTCCTTTTAATCGCCAGATTACAACACAGAAATCTTGTCAGACTCTTGAGATGCTGCCTGGAAAAAAATGAAAAGTTACTTATCTATGAGTATATGCCCAACAAAAGCCTTGATGTCTTTCTTTTTGGTTTGACCCCTAAACCTGAAACACCTGGTTTTTTTTTACTGTATAACAAAGAGAAGAAATTGTAACTGATTTGATTTTTATGTTGATGCTACTCAGGTTCCAGAAATGGAGTCCTGCTTGACTGGCAAAGACGCTTGAGCATTATCAATGGAATTGCACGGGGGCTCTTGTATCTTCACGAAGATTCTCGTCTTAGAATTATTCATAGGGATCTCAAAGCAAGCAACATTTTGCTTGATTATGAGATGAATCCGAAGATATCAGACTTTGGAATGGCTAGGATTTTCGATGGAAATCAAAGCGAGGCTAACACGAATAGAATTGTCGGAACATAGTACGTATTACTACATTTCCATTCCCACAGTGTTATTGTTTTCAATTGCATATTTTTTTTTGGAACAAATGGACTTTCTTATTCTTTCTTTATTCTTTCTTTTCAAAATATAATTTCAATTTAAAAATTTAAATTATTAATTTTTTTTTTAAAATAATTTACTCACCCAGATCTATAACTACTTTATATAATGAGACTAGAACTCATGAATTTTCCGTCATCACGGTTTTAATACCAATTTAAAGAATAATGTTATATCAAATATGATAAATATTATTTTTACAGCGAGGTGGCAAAGGTTCATTCTTGACCGATTTATATGATGCAAAAGAATTTTGCTAACCTCTTCATGAATATGAAGCAATTTGTTTCCTCTTGTGTCAATTCAAAACAGTGGATACATGGCACCAGAGTATGCTATGGCGGGACTTTTTTCTGTAAAATCAGATGTTTTCAGTTTTGGAGTGTTGCTGTTAGAGATAATCAGTGGGAAAAAAAACGTTGGCTTTCATCTTTCAGAAGAAGGCGAAAGCCTTCTCACTTTTGTAGGTTACAAATCCTATCTTTCTATCCAAAAAAGGATTACTAGCAATGATTTTTGTATCTCAATTCAGGAAGTCTCTCAACTTTTCAGGCATGGAAACTGTGGTCTGATGGTCAAGGACTGGAATTGATGGACTCAATGCTAGAGAAATCAAGCGCGGCAACTGAGGTGCTGAGATGCATCCACATTGGGCTGCTCTGCGTGCAAGAGGATCCAGCAGATAGACCCACAATGTCATCTGTGCTTCATATGTTGGCAAGTGATACCATAGCGCTCCCTATCCCTAAACAACCTGCATTTTCTATCGGCCGATTTGTTGCCATGGAAGGTCAGTCCTCAAATCAGAAAGTATGTTCTGGCAATGAATTAACCATTTCCGTTTTATCTCCACGGTGACTGTAAATTAAGTTTTAAATTTAAGAGAATGAAGTTGTAGCTCTTTCGACTGTTTTTCTTTACAAGCACAGACATTTTCAGACAGATACAAAAATATCTTCTTGATTTGTTTTTCTTCGCAGTCTGAGAACTATTATCGTACATACAAGTCATATTTCATGCTACAATGGAACCTGAAATCTGCAAAAAATCATTTGTGTATATATTAATGATTGAACCAAAAGTTTCTATTTATGGCTGCTCCAATTTATGGGCCTCTGAGGCCTCCTTGCCCTTTGTTTGTGACTAAGTTTACTCCCAAAGAAACCGAATACAGCATCATTGACTTCTTTGTCCAGGCATCAATAACCATCATTAATATTGCTCCTTGAAGTCAAGAACCCAAACAAAGAGGAAGCATCATTCTTGCCATCTTATCTCTGGAAGGGATCCAGCCCGTTGATCATATTTCCATGAGCTTAAGGCCTGATAAAGCCATAAATATCTGAAAAATAATAAATGTAAAAAGATTGAAAATCAGTTAAAATTAAAAATAACGTATGTTTTTCAAAATAAGTAAAATGTGATCTAAGAAATATTAGAATAAAAATTATGGAAACTTAGTAATTCATCTTTATATATTTTTTTATTTTCTCAATCATTCCTCTGTAAAACAATTAAGCTTCTATAACCTTAGTTAAATGGATTTTTAAAATTTACCCTTCTATTAAAAGTTATATTACATCTTATGACCATAAAGATTGTTAAGCTAAAATATATATGATGCTTTTGATTAATTATTCCAGATGACAAAAATAATGTATATTTTTTGTGTTTTTATTCTTAGAATATATCGACGCAATAACTCATAAGCCTATTGAGTATAAGCGCGGATCTTTACATCCATTTAAATCAATATAATTTTAAATAAGTTGATGCATATCAATTGCTGATCATTCGTACAGGTGAAATGTCTGCATTCCAAAGATCAGAATATTACACCTTTTCCATCTCAGATTCCAAATTAGTGTCTTGGATCTTGGTATAATTATTACCTTTCTTATTACATAACAACTTTCTATTCATTAGGATTAGGGTTTTCTAGTTGTTATAAGACTACATAGCGACTTTACTTCTACCACCATCTATTAAATGAGATGCCCTTGTCCCTCATTTACTTCTCTCACCATCTATTAAATGCTTCAATTTTTTTTTTCTTTGCACATTTCAATATTCCACAGATTTGAAAGTTCTCATTTGACTGTGGTCATTGACTTGACGCAAGGAGCTCCTCCATGTACAAGGAAAGATGACTCTATTGCCCAAAATAAGAGCAAGAAAACCTTACCAGTTATCACAAAATGTTGGTTCTGATGACCATTAACATCATGGAAGCACGTGAGATGACCATTTTGTGGTAGTGTAATGAATTCGTATCCATCCCTTACCTAACATAGTGTCAACTTGTCAACTATGGGCCATTGCAAAGAAAAATTCAATTGGTTGCCACCAAGTGTAAATTAATTGTATTACATAATGGGAACATCTTTCCAGGAAAAAGATGAGAACTGAGGAATACCGATACAATGAATTTTCCTGCACAACTCACCGACGGGGCTCTATTCCTATGGCGCAACCCTTCGAGGTCGTCCAACCTGCGCATCAGTCTTACATATTGGGTCCTAGGCTTTGAGCTGGTGATGTCAGTATTTTCCCTTTGACGCATGGGAAAGTTAGGAAGGAGCTGTAAAAATGTCAAAGATTTAAGATTTACATGTAACAAAAGATGCAAGTGTTGAAGGGTAATATATATTGTTTTTGAAGTTTTATTTAATATCTTTTTAGTTTTTAAATTTAAATGATTTTTTATATAGTATTAAAGTTTTAATGAGTAAATAATTCAACATCCTTAACTTTAAGAGATCAGAGGTTTGCTGTTTTGATTGATTTTATGAGTTCACATATTCAAATCAATGCTAGGAAAATTTTGTTATATTTTTTTCAATATACTAAACATATGTGGAGGATCAATTGCGTTGCATCTCACATTAAATAATAATAAAAAAAATCAATAAGACTGACAGTTACTTCTTTGACATCAATTCTTGAATCTTCAAGGCAGTCCTTCGCCCCATTGATACGGTTGGATTAATAGTCCAGTCTTTAGAGAGGCACATTCGGTTACATTAAGATTGTTTACGGAAAAATAATTTGTTATGTGGAAAGTATATAGGTTTTTAAGATTTAAATACTTTAAGAAAAGTTTATTTACAAGTGTAGTAAATATTATTTTTTAAAATATTATTTTATTTATATTATAATGGTTTTACCATTATATGATCGTAATTGATTTGAATATTTACTCTCGAAAAGTTCATGGACTTGTCAGATCAAAGAGTAGAGGAACATACAAATCATCTCAATGAAAAAAATAAACGATTGTCTATAAATTATGAAAACTTTTACCAAATGATAGTGAAGATGAGAATACCTTTATATTGACACCACGGCCGTGGTGACAACCACTCTCCTCCCCTAATATTCTAGTTTTATTGTATTTAAACGTATAAATATTTAAATTTATAATAAATATTTGATTTTTATATTTAGATAATTTATTTTTAAATATTTGAATTTCTTATTAATTTAATAATTTTAAATTTCTATTTAATAAATTATATATATATTAAATTATTATCAATGGGGTTACTAACATATTTAGTCTATCAATATATTTTAGAGAGTCGGAAAAGAATTACAGCAAATATCATTACTATTATTAACTTATCGACAAACTTATTTTGTCAGTAAATTTCAAAGAATTGAAAAACAATTATAGCAAATATCAATGTTAATGTTAAGTCATCGACATAATAAGTTTGTCGATATATTCCAGAGGGTTTACAAAGAAATACTACAACTATTAATTCATTGACGGGATTACCAATGACATTCTATTGGTGATATGTAATTTTATTGATGGAATTACATATGGTCCTCATGTTGATGATATGTTAAATCGTATCAAGAGAATTATCAACAGACTGAAGCTACTAAATATTTTTGACACATATAGTTTATTTGTAAAGTCATCAATAAATTTATTAATGACAAACTCACCAATAAACCAAAAATTACCAATGAATATTTTTTCGACGGATGGTTTTTGTCACACTTATTGGTAAAATAATCATTGATGGATTGTTAATATAAATACCAATAAATATTTTCATTGATAAAACTGTTAAATCTAGTGGTATATATGAAAATTTCAATAATAGATAAATGTTGATCTCTCCATTTTTTTCTGTCAAATTACTTTTTTCTTTCGTGATCCTTTTCATCAAGTTTAATATTCAGGTAGGAATTTAACAAGAAATAATAAAGACAAGAAAACTGGGGTTGATGTTCTGGATATGACTTGGCTCCTATTCCCTTAAAATATTACATTGTATATATATCATAAAAAAAATTCATTTGAAATGGATTTCCAAGTAAAATAATTGGCCATGCTTGAAACATTGAAGGTGATAATGTTTAAAAAATTATGTTGATATATTACGGTATATGTTTAAGTTGGAAGTTGACTGATAGACGAGAGCAGTTGATTAGATTTTGTTAATCATTGTTTGAGTTTAACTAAAGATAGACATTATTTAACTATTAGTCATGCAATTACTATGCACAATCACTAGTAAAGTTTTTATTAATATGAGATGCCCTTGTCCCTCATTTACTTCTATCACCAGCTTCAATTTTTTTTCTTCTTTTCACATTTCAATATTCCACAAATTTGAAAGTATTGTTTATGTGGAATTTAACAGGCTACTGGTGAATACTATATCTGGAGAAGCTAATGAAGCTGCAAGGGTACCATGTTAAAAAGTTTGCAACCAAAAAAGTGATTTATACGTTGCATGGAATTTTAGATAATCTATCTACCAGCTAACCTCATCTTATTAATCACTGTTTGAGTATGAGTCTTATTTCCAAGCTGTAATTTTTTATTTGAGAATTACTCATTTTTCAACGAAGTTGGTTGGCCGCCCACCCCCAAAATGCATGTGATGGATACAAATTTAATTAGATTAATAAGTGATAAATTATAAATACATTATAAATAAGTCAAGGATTTACAATTTTTTTATTTTTAATATACACTTCAAGTCAAGGATTCACAACATACAAATTCACAACATATAAATATTAGTAACCAAACATAACTTGATACTATTATAATTACAGGTCAGTAGGCTTATCAAACATTACCTATTACTGTCACAGTTATTTATAACTTTATTTACTAAGCATCATCTACTAATATTTGCCGATTCTTTGAACTTTTCATATTAAATTATTAGATACCTTAACTATAAAAAATAAAATGAATTAAATTGATTAAATTAAAAGATCAATCAATTATTCAATATATTAGTCTTATTCCTCATCATCTTGAATTTTAAAACTCATTAAATGAGGTATATAGGTCAAATTTGAAAAAAAAAAATCAGAAGCATTTTGTTTTTGTATTATTCAACAAAAATACCATACGAAAAATATTTTGTCAACTTTATCACATTTAATCAAATCACTTCTTTTGTTTCCTTTGGTTTCGACTACCTTGTTGCCAAGTTAGGGATCTAACAAGAAAGAAAGAAAAAGAAAGCTACCACTAATACAAAAAAAATTTAGAGGATATGATTTTGTTCCAAGTACTTTGTTGTATCTTAGTGGATATTATGGGTGGGGACCAAGAGTCTATATACTGGGAAATTAAGGTTACTATTTAGTAATTAAAAAAACCTAGAGATCATAAAGATACACATTCTTTCATATATTGATATTATAAAGTGTTAGTTATGATTAAAAAAAAATGACATCACTCTTACATTATTTTTTATACAAAAAATTAATTTTATTATATATTTTCTTTTAAATATGCCTTTTTTATTACATCCTAATTAAAAAAAATTCTATTTTTCTAGTCATTTCGTGTAAAAATTGACATTGATTTCTAAAAATAGAACTCATTAAGTCCTAGAAAAGGAATTTTTGTTAAAATAATTTATAGTGGGTTTAACCTGTATTTGATTTTAATATTTGGACATCAACCTCCTTAAAAGGAGATGTGTTAAAAAAAAATGATGCTTATCTCTAAAAAGAGAAATTGCATTGATATCATTAAGAACAAATATTGAACTAATATGAATGGTTAAAATTAGGCTTTGAAATCGTGTTGATTATTATAATTTAATTTTGACTAATTTGATTTTAATTTAATTTTAAAAGAATTTAAAATTAAAATTAAAAAATTAAGAATTATTTCAATTAAAAATGTGATTTAATAATTTGTGAAAAAATTAGAGACTACAATATGCTAATATCATTCTCTCGTAATTTTCAGTTTTAAAAAATTATTAAGATAATAATAATTATCTATTTTTTAATTTGATTCTTAATTAAATTTAAAATTAAAAAAATAAATTTATTTAAGAGTTTGTTTCTCATATGCTATAAAACTCTTTGGATTATAAATATAGATTTTAGTGAATACCGACAAAGGGGAGGCCACCACCAGAAAATAAAGGGCAGGCCATTAAAAAAAAAAAAAAAAAAAAACCTCAATCTATTGGCAGAACAGAAGTCGCCGCCAATCATCTTCACCGTTTTTTTTATCTGGCTTGGAATCACAAAGGCCACCCCAACAAAAACATCTCCTCACGCCCCCTCTTCTCCCTCACCATCCACCAGCTCCAAAGCGCCCACTCTCTCCCTCACTGTCACAGATCGTGACAAGCCCGCGCATCGCCTCCTTCCTTTCCTTCGTCTCTGCTTCGAAGCTGACTTATCAGAAACCCAAAACCAGTCTCCCTCAGAAGCTCTCTTAATCATCCCCTCACGCCAGCCTTATCATCTTCAGAAAGCCAAAACCAGAATCCCTCTCCCTCTTTCTTTTGGTTTCTCCCCTTTACGGTTTCCTCTTCTTTTCGATCTGTCAACCCCCACCGATCACCACACGAAGATCAAATCGAACTTTTCTCCTTCATCCTCTTGGCCAATAGCAACACCAGCTGCAACCAAATCCGCCCGAAAGCCACGAGGTTTTACCCACGGCGGCGCGTGAACCCCCCCGCCGGCAGTTAAGGTGGCGCGTGGCTACTTTTCCACCACTTTCAAGAGTTTCCCAGTACTATTCTTATGCTTCCGAAAGACTCCACACCTGATTCCTTTAGTCCCGAGATACTTCGAACGCTTTGGAAGGTCGATTTATGACCTCAAACCATTTTTGAACAAAGTGATTATATATATAGTGCGAATTGGAGACAGGCTTATTGTTTTTGTATAATATTTAGACAGCGTGGACATTATTTAACTGATTTATGTTCTTTTCCTAAAAAAATGGGTTTCTTTTTCTCTTTTAATTCAAATTTTATATTTATTAATGTTAAAATAAAAAATATAAATTCTAATATTTACTTATATGAAAATCTAAGAATATTGCAATTTTTAGGTTACAAATGTTTATCAACAACATAGTTATATTTATATTGCACTTTTTAGGTTATGAATGTTTATCAACATTATAATTAGAAATATTTATAAATAAATATTTATTAATGTTAGAGTTGAAAATATTATAAAAAAATCTTAAAATCATAAAAAGTAAAATAAAAACAAACTTAAAATATTTTAAAATAAAATTAATAATATAATTTATTTTAGATAATATATTTAAGAGGTGATATTTTTTTTTATATAATTAATTTTATATTATAAAATTTATATTAATCAATTACGATTTCTAATACTATAATACTAAACTACGATTACTTCACTCCTCTAAACTCCTCTCAAAACAAGACTATGAAAACAAGATACTCCATATCCAATTTTTATAATATAAATATTTTAAAAGTCATTGTAATATCCGAATGTGACATTAATGATGCGAGATGGGTTTTAAACTCGACTATTAGTTACATGGCCTTAATGTTGTTGCACTTTGACTCATTTATTTTTATTGGTTTTCTTGTATTAATATTTTTTTATAATTATTTTTTTATTTTTATTTATTTATTGATTATTATATGAGAATATCACTAAAGGAATATTTAGATTTTTACAATGTAAAAAGAAGAAGAAGCAATATACATGAAATTTAAACACGCAAATAACAAAAGCAGTTTTTCCAGGTTAGGCTGCTGGTTCCCATTTCGTGGAGAAGGAAAGGGCTGGAAACACAGGATTTGGGAGCAGTGACCGTTCTAGTGGCGAGTTGTGGTCGGGGCTTTGTTCAGGGAAGTAGATGAAGACTGCAATGGGTCGACTTTGGTAGCGATGTGGAGCTATTTTGATTTGGGACCAGAGCTGGTTGTGGTTCGGGTTTGTGGTGGTTATGGAGGAAAAGGCAGTGGCTTGATTACGGTGGGGGTTCCTAGGTTTCGGCCTTGGGTTGGTGATGGTGATGGTGATGGGTGTTTGTTGAATATGGAGAGGACACCGGGTATGGTGGGGAACTGCTTCGGGTCAATGGGCTACAGTGGTGTCGTGGTGGTGAGTGGTTGGGTGATATGCGTTGCTGGTTCGACTGGGTAAGGGCGACAATAACTGGTTTTAGTCGATGTTGAGTGGTGAATTGGAGATTTTTGTTTTTTTTTTTTGGAGATTAATAAGTGACGTTCATTTGATTAGATGTGGTTAATGGTTGTTTTTAAAGTGTTTATTTTAAAATAATGTTTTTTTATGTTTTAAAAATTATTTTTAATATTATTATATTTTTGAAAAATTAAAAAAATAAATTTAAAGTAAAAGAAATATTTTTTTTTAATTTTTTTAAAAATACTCTTGAAATAAAAAGAAACATTCCCTGTTGGGACTTAGTTTAGTTAAGTTTTATTAACGTGACATGTGATTATCACCATCATTTATTCTTCTTTTCATATTTCAATATTCCACAATTCGAGTTTCACATTAATTAGAAACATGCAACTCTTTCTTAACGAAACAGACTATGAAAGTTCTCACTTGACTTTTGCCATAAACTGGCGGCAAGGAGATCCTCCATGTAAAAGAAAGGAAAACTCTCCATTTTCCTGCTTTCCTTTGCAGCCCTCACGGAAGCACAGGAGATCTTTTTCCTTGATCATAAATGCTCAAACACAACCACTTTCGTAAGAAACAGCCCGTATCAAGCCAATTTAAATATCCTTCTCTCTTCGCTCGCCGCCAATGCAACCCGTAATGACATTAACGGATTCTATAACGCCTCTACAGGACATGATGTTTATGAGGTCTATGGCCTCTTTCTTTGCCGTGGCGATGTTAGTGTCGAAGTTTGCCAAGAATGTGTGAACCTTGCAAGAAACGATGTGGTCCAACGTTGTCCAATCCAGAAGGAGGCTATCATACGGTATGAACAGTGCTTCCTGCGCTACTCAAACAGTAACATCTTCTCCAGCTTGAGCCAAACGCCTGCGCTTTACAAGTTCAATACACCATATATAACTGTTGATGTAGAATTTAACAAGCTACTGGTGAATACTATATCTGATGCTGTTCATGTAGCTGCAAGTGCGCCCTCAGGTAAAAAAAAGTCGGCAACCAAAAAAGAGATTTATACGAGGCTTGAGTCTCTATACATTCTTGTGCAGTGCACACCGGATCTATCTAAAAATGATTGTAATCAGTGTCTTCTACTAGCTAAACTCAGCATATCAATTTGTTGTAATAATAACCGAGGAAGAATCTTATTTCCAAGCTGTAATTTTCGATATGAAAATTATTCATTTTACAACCAAGCTGCCGTCGTGGCAATGTCC